CGGGGACGTCATCAACCCAGCGCACTGGGACACAATGACTGTAAATAATTTCTAACGGCACACTATATAAATATTCTTACTTACCAAAATAGCGAGTATGTCATCCTAACAGAATAGGAATCACCCTTGCTTAATCAAACAAATAAGCAATAAATATATATGCCCATTTTACATTATCTTACAGCTTAGGAGAACGCATCAATAACTGAAGGTCTAGATTATAACAACGATCAGTGAATCTTATAATCTTATCCTTCCGCGGTCCGTTCAATACTTATCATAAGTACTAGTGTAATACATTAGTTAAAGATCAACTAAATCAAGACTAAACTACAGTCTTTTTCCAACAGGGGTCTCATTGCCTGTCTAAACTGTGAACAATAAATTTATATTTTACAAGGAACCGATAATATGATCTTTCTGTTTGACACGACGAACCATATTATCTACGGTGTAAAATAATGGAGTTATGATTGCATAAATAAGTAAACTGCAAACATAAATACTTTGACTAAAACACGATTGCTAGATCAAAATGAAATCATTAATATCTGAAAGCCAAGCTTTTACAGCATATCTAACACCAACGTCGTCGTTCTCCTTCATCTACAATGGCCTCCTTCACTGTCCTTTATGCCGCGCCGGAGATCCGCCTCGCATCAGTGGTTCCAGCCTCTGCCGCCACAAGCAATCTTCACCTGTCCGCTGCATAAGGGCCGCGAAGTCCTCCACCGATCCGCCAGACGCTGTCGGGATAGCCGCGGGAGACTCCAGGTCCTCTACCGGAGAACAAACACGACTCAACCATCGTGGATCAATGTCGTTACCGAACTCGCCACAACGTCCGTCGACACCGTTTCCGTCTTCTCCTACGGCGACGGCGGCCGCGACCCCTTTAGTTTTGAAGTGCCGGTCACAAGCGTGGCGGAATAGTGGAGTAGAGCTTGGGTCGGTGTTTGAAAATTTGACATGACATAAGGACTTAAGCGAAATTTTATAAATTTTGGTATATTACAATTGAGTTCATGGGTTAAATTTATACTTAATAAAAATATAGTTAGTATTTCAATATTTGTACATAAATAATATTTTTACATAAAAAATAAATAATATTTTTTGTATATAGTTCGGTCGTTCAGTTATTTAGGAAACAAAACCGACATTGTATCGAAATAATCGAGTTTTAAAAATAAAAACAGATAATACAACCGAAATATAAAATTTCGAACCGAAATTTTAGGTAGGTCGATTTTCGGTCGCTAATGTACAACATGTAAGTCATTAATGTGCAATTCGTCTATCACTATTGTGTACTCATAGCGCAAACATTTTTTTAATGATTTGCTCCAAACTAAACTAGAATCGACCCAAAATAATTGGTTTATTCTATTTGTTAAACGATTACCCTAAATAGTCGAAATAATTATTATTTATATTATAAAAGTATATTTACTTTGTTAATATTTATATTATATTTTTCATATTAATTTTGGTTGAAACATACATAATTATAAAATACAAAAATCAATAATGTGCGTTAACACAGACATTCGTGTGCATTTCGTCGAACATTATTGTGCAGCATATTGAGCGAATATTTTTTACGTGAATTGCAATTTTAGAAAATTTTAATAACGTTTCTTTCAATCAACATTGGATTAATCAAATTATCTATATAATAAAAATGTATCTAGTATTTATAATTTTTTTTAATATTTTATATTATTTGAATGTTGAAAATAAATAATACATATATAGATAAAATATAAAAGTAATTTATTTAATATATTTTTGTTGATTCTATTATTTTGCTTTTTCGGTAAATAAAGCCAAGACCGAACCGAAATATTATTATAAGTGAGAATAGACACTAGCACAACCTAATACAATTGTGCATTCTGATAATCACTATTGTGCATTTTGTTTATTAATATTGTGCATTGTGTAGTGCAATTTTTATTTTTATTTTTTATTTTATTTATTTATTTATTTTTTTTTTATGTGCACGTTCAAAATAAAATCAGCCATCGTGGATCAATGTCGTTACCGAACTCGCCACAACGTCCGTCGACACCGTTTCCTTCTTCTCCTACGGCGACGGCGGCCGCGACCCCTTTAGTTTTGAAGTGCCGGTCACAAGCGTGGCGGAATAGTGGAGTAGAGCTTGGGTCGGTGTTTGAAAATTTGACATGACATAGGGACTTAAGCGAAATTTTATAAATTTTGGTATATTACAATTGAGTTCATGGGTTAAATTTATACTTAATAAAAATATAGTTAGTATTTTAATATTTGTACATAAATAATATTTTTACATAAAAAATAAATAATATTTTTGTATATAGTTCGGTCGTTCAGTTATTTAGAAAACAAAACCGACATTGTATCAAAATAATCGAGTTTTAAAAATAAAAACAGATAATACAACCGAAATATGAAATTTCGAACCAAAATTTTAGGTAGGTCGATTTTCGGTCGCTAATGTACAACATGTAAGTCATTAATGTGCAATTCGTCTATCACTATTGTGTACTCATAGCGCAAACATTTTTTTAATGATTTGCTCCAAACTAAACTAGAATCGACCCAAAATAATTGGTTTATTCTATTTGTTAAACGATTACCCTAAACAGTCGAAATAATTATTATTTTTATTCGAAAAGTATATTTACTTTGTTAATATTAATATTATATTTTTCATATTAATTTTGGTTGAAACATACATAATTATAAAATACAAAAATCAATAATGTGCGTTAACACAGACATTCGTGTGCATTTCGTCGAACATTATTGTGCAGCATATTGAGCGAATATTTTTTACGTGAATTGTAATTTTAGAAAATTTTAATAACGTTTCTTTCAATCAACATTATTTTGGATTAATCAAATTATCTATATAATAAAAATGTATCTAGTATTTATAATTTTTTTTAATATTTTATATTATTTGAATGTTGAAAATAAATAATACATATATAGATAAAATATAAAAGTAATTTATTTAATATATTTTGATTGGTTCTATTATTTTGCTTTTTCGGTAAATAAAGCCAAGACCGAACCGAAATATTATTATAAGTGAGAATAGACAGTAGCACCAAAATAATCGAATTAATTTATTACTTATATTATAAAAATATATTTAATATTTAGTATTTTTTAATATTTTAACTTAATTTTAGCCAAAAAAAACATAATATATTTAGTATTTTTGTATATTTTTTGAATATTTTATATTATTTTTTAAATTAATATATATGTATAAAAAATTTATATATATAAAAAAATGTTTGATTATTTTTTAAATAGTAACTATTCTCGCCAAAAAAATGTTGTTTACTAAATCTAGAAACTATTTAAACATTTTATGGTATGTTTTAAAGGTACAATTTAGGTAATTGCGGCTAATTTATTAAGGTAATAAATCACATAAAAATTTCTTTTGTATCTCAAGATATTCATATCATTTATCCGTATGTACATATATACCATATATTTGTACCTAAAATATCGAGATATATATCTGTTGTATCAATTATCGTTCGAATTATTGCTACAGTCTTACAGCGGCTCTAGCGATATAATTCAATAAAGAAATATTTTTGCATATTTCTCCCTTTACTAAGAAAAACTACTTGTGTGTGTAAATAATTAGCAGTTTAGCACCAATCATCGTGAAAATTGAGAATACGAAAATTACTAGCATGTTCACATGAAATTTTAGGTAGTCAATTTTCATGGTGATAATGAGTGTCGCTAAAACACTTAAAAAATATAATTATAAAGATAAATTATACAATTAGCAAGTATGATACGACACGAATTTCACGAAATATTACTATTGAAAATCAAAAAGATATTTGAATAAATATTGTTTAGTTAAATTTAAAATTTATAATTTAACTCTAGAGAATTATTTGATAAATTTGAACGATAAGATAACCGACAAAGAATCTAAAAAATTGCGAGATAATATGTGTGTGTGTGTGTGTGAATGAATATATAAGTGAATTTATTGTGTAGTTGGTTGCAAATTTAAAAGTTAAATAAGTAATTATTCATAACTTACGAGTCAATATCAACTTGGAAGTAATTAGAATAGTCAATTATTTATAGTTTAATAAAATACTTAACTACTTAAATTTTTTGATTGAATAGTTTATAAAAAAATAAATTTATTTTAATTAATGAAATAATTTAAGTTTTATAATTATATTTATTCACATAGACTTTTAAATATATGATAAAATTGTATTAAATTAATTATTTTATGGAGTCACATTGTATTCAAATGGAATTTCTGAATAAAAATCTTAGAAATAACAATTATGTTAAAATAAATATAATATAATTTATTACCAGTTACATGCACTGTACAGATTGTGAGCTAATTTTAAATAGAGATGTTTAATGTAATTTTTCACAATTTAAATTCCTTAAAATATTTTCAATAAATTAATATAGATAAATTATATTACATATTGATTCTATATTTCTAATTTATAAATATTAATGAATATCTCTTATTTGTGCATCGCACGTGATTCGTACTAATATATATAAAAATAATATTGTTTTTATATATTTTCTTTGAATTGCAAATTTGACCTATGAACTAAATTGAGATATAATNAGGCACCTGTTAGCCAAGTTTCAGATCTTTTACTTTGTTTGTTGCCTTTGTTTTTTCTTTTGTTTCTGGTGTTGTTTTTTTTGGCTACTATTTGTTCTTGTAGAGTTTTTATATCTGCAGCCTTCTTTGGGTCTGATTATATATACAGGTTGGGGTTCGATCCCGCCATAACCTCACCCTAGGTTTTTCTCTAAAAAAAAAAATAAAAAGATACAGAAAGATGAATTACAAATATTTTGGCACACTATACATACATACATGTAAACAGGAAAGAGAAATAAGAATTATATCTTTTGTTCATGAGTCTTACTCATTGTATAATTATGACATTATTTCCGCAGCATCGATCCAATTTAGTCAAAATATGATGCCCATCACATTTGAACAGCGTAACAGTTTCTAGATAATTAGATCAAGCAATTTGCTTCATGCGTAAATCGTAATCAACATTTGTTCCAATTTCACTGTTTTTTTTTTTTTTNTGTTCCTGTACAGACTAACAAAACCAGAGTCTTCCACCCCATCAAACTACCTAATTAAGCCCTATCTCTGTCTATAGAAATCTCCCACCGAGGATCTTGCACCCCGCTAACTACAGGCCTGGCCACCCCGTCCTTACCCGCATTCTGCCCTGCCTGCATTCTCTGCTGCTGCAGCACCAGCACTGAGGCTGTCCCCTGGAAATCTTGAGAAGCCAGCAAGTCCCCCACCACCCCAAGCTCTGGGCACTCGCTCCACTCCCCGAGCCCCGTGAGTATCTCTGACGCCTGGTGCTCCCGCCCCACGATCATCAAGTCGTAGCTGTTCCTGACCCCCCTCAACGACCCCGCCAGCCCCATCCCATCCTTCACCACCTGTTCCTGGTACACAAAGTTGTGGTTGTTGGAGTTGGCCTGCCGCACCTCGTCCACCAGGTTCCCGTCCTGCTTTCTCTCTCTGGCCGTGTCCCGCCCGAACAGCAGGAACCGAACGACTGTGAGTGCCACGCTGGCGTGGGCCCCCATGCGGGACCCATAGCAGAGGGCCTCCGCATCGTCCGGTCCCCCGACAAACACGACAGCGACCCTGAACACGGATTGGGATTGGCTGTTGAGGATGGAGGCGGAGCCCGTGAGTACGGCCCGGTCGACGAGGATGCCAACCGAGCAGGGGGCGCAGTCGAGGACCCTTACGTTCATGTTCTGCATGGCTCGGTTTTCAGAGGCGACAGAGCCGTCAATCTCCCAACGCTTGTGAAAGGGGAGGATTAGAATGTTGGCGCGATGGTCGAGGGCGACTCGGAAGATGTCGTCGTGCATGGTGTGCATGTGGGAGAAGGCGGAGAAGAGGCGGACAGTGGCGAAGGGCTCGTTGTGGAGCTCGTACTGGCGGAGGGCATTCACCATGGGGCCCGACTCCGAGTGAATAGGGTGGAGCGTGCGGGTGGACTGGTGGGCCACCACCATGTGTGTGGCACGGCCCACGAGCTCGACGAGTAGGACGGCGATGATGGCCACGGGGCTGTGCTGGGTTGCGAGGGAGGCCTCGAGGAGGTTGATGGTGAGGGGTATGTTGTCCTGCTCACGGATGCACACCAGGATGCGCAGCTCAGTGTTGCGCCGCAGGTGCTGGATGGTACGCCGGCTCAACGGAACTTTGTTCCTGCTGGGGTCGTACATGTGCTTGATCAGAGGTGTGATCACGGACGTGACACCAACCACGGATAGAACGCACAGGGCAAATTCCTGATCTGTTAGAATCTGTCATTTATTTTTTTTTTTCGAAAATCCCATTAATAATTATTAATTTTTATTTAAAACTGATCTTTGTAATTAACGTAACATATTCATTTCATGAATAATACCATACCCCGGACTCCCTTAGCAGATTATACACAATGAGCTCGCACGCCCCTCTTGCATTCAGCATGAGCCCGATGACAACCGAATCGTTCAAGTTTATGTCTAGGAAACGGCTGGCGCACACGACGGCCCCAATCTTGACGACACCTGCAAACACCATGAGCAGCGTGACGATCCACAGCGACCACAAGTTGATCTTGAACACATCCGTCTTGAGCCCGCTTGTCGTGAGGAAGGTCGGGTACAAGAGCTTCCCAATTGGGTACTCGAGCCTGGCGATGATGGCCGCTCCCAGGGGGCAGCCCTGAGGCAGCAGCAGGCCCAGCACAAGCGGCCCCAGCACAAAGTGCTGCCCGATAGTTTCCGTGAGCAGTGCGGTCCCCAGCACGCCCACGAAGAAGCACAAGACATGCCTCTCCCCCACCGACCTCACGCTCGGCACCTTCTTAGACATGCGGCGCACGAGTGGGCCCAACCCGTAGCCCATGCCCACCACGAACGTGAAGGCCGACGACACGGAGAGGGCCGACCTGAGAGGGTCGTTTTGCGATTGTATGATGGCGAGGAGGACGCCGACAAGGGACATCCCGAAGAGGTCACAGAGCATGGCTGCCGAGATTGAGATGCGGCCGAGATCGCTGTTGGTCATCTTGAGCTCGGCTAGGAAGTAGGAGATGTTTGGGAAGGCGGTGAGGCCTTGGGAGGCGGCTATGAAGGGGAGGGCCTGGGAGAGGGACTCATCCATGCCAACGTGGCTCTTCAAGAGGAAGGCGAACAGGACAGTGAGGATGAGGGTGGAGAACATGGCCGAGATGCCGATGACCACCGATTGCCGACGAGGCCGGAACATCATGCCCGTGTCCGACCCAACTCCGATGGCGAAGAAGAAGAACATGATTCCAAAGGCAGCCAGCGTCTCGAGGATAACCACGCTGCGGATTGGGAAGAGTGTCTTTGAGATGCTGGGGTCGTGGCCGAGGAGGGACGGTCCATACAGTACACCTCCCTGCATGCATATTAGGAGATATATTAATTTATTGTTAAAAAAAAAAAAGAAAAAAAAAAATCACTACAATACTTGTGCAAATGATGAGGAAAAGAGCTTACAAGAATATGAGCCACCACGGACGATTGTCCAAGAGGCTGGAGGCAGAGCTCAATGGTGTGAGTGGTTAAGGTGATCAGAGAAAGCTGTAACAGAATAAGAGGAAGTGACAAGTTTAAAGGATTTCGGTGTAGAAATTGGCCAAACGAGACAATGTTGTCTTTATATTGACAAATTATGTGTTCGTTTCCAGCAGAAACTGCATCTGTTGATGCCATATTTTCTGTAGTTTTCTTCTTCTATATTTTGTCTATGTTTTTCTTGTTTCTAATGGTAATAGAAAACGACATGAGGAAAAGGGTGTTGATGAGCAACCTTGAGACTTCATCTTTTTTGTCTCTTCACACGCACATAGGCACTTGCACACTTGAGCAGAATGGGTGGTAATCCATGAATTTCTCTGCTTTTTGCCAGTAGTTTGTTAGCGACATATGGATTAGGTAGCTTCACATATAGCATTATTTGTTGTCAAATTAGTTAATTAAACTACTAAAAGTAGTAGGAAATACAAAGAAACGCCCGGCTAACAAAAAAAAAATGTCAATATTCATCTATCTATACTTTTACTTTTATCTATATCTATTTATATCTATATTTTTACTATTATAGAAGGAGGAATGATGTTGTAAGAAATTGCACGGATTGAAAAGTCCTTATGTTTATATTATTTTTAATGCCAAAATTGTAATACATTAAATAACTAAATGAATTATAATCACAATTAAATACCTCAATTAAATAGAAAAAAAAACTCTCTCAAAAATAAAACCTAAACAAAATAAATCTAAATAAGTAAACAAGATATTAACTTATAAATAAAGAAATAATTAATAAGGGAGATGAAAATTATTTCAAAAAGATTGGATTGCATTAAAATATATTCTCAAATATTATGTGGAACAAATAAATAAGTAGGGAAGTACTATCCTTAATTTCACAACCTACAATATTAAATATAAAGTATTATAATATAAGTTTGTTATAGTTCTAAATAACCACATTTTAACGCCCCATTTTATTTTAAAGAATTTATCGTATTAATTTGTAAAAATCAGAGTTATTTTTTTTATTCCAATTAAAAACATTTATCGAGAAACGGGCGCTACATACCAACTAACAGATAAACACATCCAACAAATAATAGAACCTAAACATGCTCGAGCTAATGATATAAAACAATCCCATACAACATAAGTCTAAGTCATTTCTAAAAGTCTAGCATGAATCAAGGTTCAACAAAAACATAAGCATAATTCGAAAGCAGAAGCAAGAAATAATCCCAAGTATATGAAAGCAAATAAATAAGCAATAAATTTCAACGGAAGCATAAGATATCATCAAATAGTGACCACCATCTCGCTCGTCCTACGCCACCACCTCCAGCTCTTCTCAACCTAAATCAAAGGGAGAGAAAACACAACAAAGAAAAATAATGGGAGTGAGCATAATCAACAAGCTCACCATTATTGCACAATTATCCCGTATAATTATTTTAAAAGCAGAGTAATCACCGTATATAGTATGCATAGAATCCATAGCCTAAACCCCTACCCGGCCCTATCGCAAACCTCCTATGTACATACAACAACCTTCTGGATACAACGGCATAGCTGTAACTGGAAACCTTCCCACCTCCGGGTACAACGGTTCATAGGATCCTTTCCAGGAGACAGCAGAGATGTTTTTCCCCTTCCGGGTACAACGGCTTGGGGCGTCCCTCCCGGATACAATGGGCATGTGACCTCCTATTGCTTTTGCATTATCAAAGGCACTATCGTTCGGGACACTTAGACTAAAGTTCTCATGCATACAATAATTTTCAAAAGAAACATTACACGAAATAATAAGTGCGATAAATATGGAATACATCATAAATGTATCCACCTGGATGCAACAACAGATCAAATCACGAATCTCGAAATGAAGCGAGGTCAACACCTCTAGACACCTACATTAAGTCCAGATACTAAAGTCAATACTTTAATCTAGACCTAAGTAGAAAATTCACAATTTGACTTAGCTGAACTCGATTCGGCCAAGTGGTTCGTGAAGTTCTGTGGATATGGGAACACTAGGACTTAGACTCGATCAAACCACATATTCAAGCTCACAAAATTGCAAGTGAAAGACAATCAAATGAGTCACAAATAAATACATAGCAAATTCGGTCAACAACACTTAACCGGATTTAACATAGAAATAAATTTCCGAAATTCACACTTGAATTAGAAGGTATATCAAACCTACGAGTTAGGCTCTGAAAATTAAATATAAAATTCATCTTCCAGTATTTAGCAAAAAGATCAAGTTTCAGCTTCAAACTCGTTACACACAATTTTATAAAATTCAAATAAATTTTTTGATAAAAACGTGTCTAAATTAGAAACACATGATAATGAACGATTCAGGCCATGAAAAGTTTATCTAAGAAACATAAGCATGTGAACAACAACACATAAAAATATCAGCCTTTAGCACTTAGTATATGAATTTATAAAATTAAAACAACATTCAGCCAATTATCAAATTTATATCAAAACTGAACCTAAATGAATTTCAAAAATTCCAAAATTTTTACAGCATGCTAAAAATCATATAATCAGTATCTCAACCAAAATTCAGAATTTTTCAGCTTCAGACCAATTTATCACAATTAAAACAAATTCGGGCAGAAACACAAATTAAATATTAACCCTATCAAACCTAGTCCAAAAATTCTAAAAATTTTATACAAAACCCAAATATGCCAGAAACATAACATACTCTAATTTCAGCCAAATGGAAGCAATACACAATTAATTATGCATTTAACAATAATCTAGACATAAATAAATTTAATTTTTATAAATAGCTACAGGCCTTTGAAAATCACGAACATTTTACACAAGATACAATTTCAAAAGAAGCAGCTACTCCTAAAATTTCAAGGCAATCGGACAAGTATTCAATTTATGTTGAATTTTACATTCAAAACAGTAATTATGAATTCCGAAAAATCATAACTTTAAATTTACAAGTCCAATCGACACAAGGCCAACGCCATTGTGTTCGTAATAATCCTATGTACCTAAATCCACAGCAACTAATCACTTATAACCAGTTCTCGTTCGATTCGCACGAATCGACGAGTTTCACAAAAAAAATCTCGACAATATATATATACAACGAACAACTACAAACACATATATAATAATTCAACGAATCACGCAGCACAACTGATCACAACATTAATCATGTAAAATTAAACGACAAGTCGAGACTCGATACCGTTCTCGGTAAACGAGCGAGAAAGGGTTCGAACCGGCTCAGCGACGAACGGCGGCGGAAGGGTTCGACGGCTTCGCTTCGTCTCACGAAGGAAGAAGGCTCGTCTGCGGCTTCGACACAGCGACGAGGTGTGCTGCTGCGAGGAGGAGCAGTTGGTCGTCAGCGGCGAAGCTTCACGATCGGGTGCTCGCCGGCGGCTTGCAGTCGCGGTGGAGACGAGTTGCAGGTGGCGGGGCTGTTCACGAGAGGGGCAGCAGCGGGCTCACGAGCAGACGACGGAGGAGCTCGCGTCGTGGAGAGGACAACGATCACAGCGGCTTGCCGGGGAGGAGTTCGCAGGCGGAGGGAGGCTCGGGAAGAAGAAGGTCGCCGGAGTTGCTTATGTGCACTGGCGATGATGACAAGCGACGGGATTTCTGCGAGAGGGAGATGAGAGGGGCGAGGAAGGGATGATGGTGATCGGCCTGAAGGTGATGAGAGAGCGAGAGGATGAACGGAAAAACAAAAGGGATTTCCTCTTTTCTCTCTTCTCTGATGACGCGAGATGGAGATTTGACGAGGAAGGAGAAGCGACTGCGGGGTGAGTTACGATCGAGTGAGAGAGCGAGATATATGTAGGCTTAGGGTTGGGATCTTTTCTCAGAAGAAAAGAAATCACACACGCATAGCAATAGCCAACTGGGTCGGGTTTCTGGGTTGGGCGCCGGTTCACGGGCTGGGCTGGTGCGCGGGTTCGGTTGGCTCGCGGGCCGGTTCGTGACAATAAATCGGCCCACGGGCTCATTTCTGGTTCATGCGGGTATTAACGGGCTCGATTAAATCGCACGATTAATTAAATGAACCTCAGATAATATATTTTACACATTATTTTAAAATAATAATTTTAATAATCGAAAATATACAATTAGGCAATAAATTTCAATTAGACAATTAGTAATATTTGGACACTCAATAATAATAATTATAATACTAATAATAATAATAATATTAATAATCAATAATCCACAATATAAAATCACAATTAAATGGGGCATTACACACATGTTATAATAAACAAAGTTGATATATAAGGATTACAAGAAGCAAAAATATGGCATATAAAACTAATTAAATGTATTTTGCGAAAAAATAGTGTATCAAGTAGGACATATGAGGAAAAAAACAAATAGAATACATGATATAACATGAAATAAAACAAAATATGTATTTTGCACATGAATTTATGGGAATACTAGCAATTATTAAAATATTTTTATTGAACACAATAATAAACTGATTAGAACTAATATCAAACTTTATTTTTATTTTACCATGAACCTATAAATTATGTAGGACATAAATTAGTTAAGAGCTGTCTTTCATTACATTAAAGTTTGACAACTATTTTAAATAATAATTTTACCAAAATAGTCAATTTTAGGAGGCAACAAAAACTTATAAATTGAAATATAATGATAAAAACTAATCTATAATAGAACAATGAATGACATTTAAAAAAATTAAATACGAAGACATATTGCCAAATAGATGAATGTTGATTGCTTAAAATATCTTTTATATTTGATATATTTATAATAGTAAACTATCATTAGAAAGATTAGTAAAAGAGGTAAAAGTATTATTTAGAGTAAAATTATAAGTATGATTAATAACAAATAAAATCAAATTAACTAAAAGTAATTAAACATAATTTTCAAATAAATTATAAAATATATCAACTTTGAAAAGGAATATTTTTTCTTTACAAAATATCACATTTGACATGTTATATAAAATAAAATATATTGCCACACTTTTACGGGGTTAATTTAAGCATATAGAATATGTTTTAATACAAAATAAATAATACATACATAGCTTACAATCTATGAAATCAAATACATACATTACTTTTTAATTTTCAATATAATATACTAATTCGTTTTATTTTTTAATCACTACATGATTACAGCCTCTAGTTGAATAATACAACCAAAAGCTGAATAATACAACCAAAAGCTGAATAATACAACCAAAAGCTACATGTGCAAAAAAACAGCCCCTAGTTGAATAATGCAACCAAAAGCTGAATAAACTGGGAGGACAAGTCTGAAGACCGCTTAGATCTGACATTAGCAATG